ACAGATCATTACAACAGCACGCAAGAAGTCGATAAAATCGACTATGTCAGAATTCCCACATCTAATTTAAAAAAAAAAAATTCATGCTGTGGAGCGTTATAAAATAAGACAAAACTCTAGCAGAATATTAAACAGGATCTTCCTGAAGGATTGCCGATAGCATGTTGTGAAAATGAAAATAAGTGGAATTCTTTACTAATTCCTATTTGTTAATTAGAGAGAATGCTCAGAGACTCATGTTGGAGGGGAGGGTTTTTTACATTCCCCCCCATGTGTGTTAGTTTTTACATTATGAGAACTTGGAAATGCCCTCCTATTGTCTGTATCAATAGCAAAACTTAATTTCTATCAATTAAATTTTATTAAACTATCCACTGAAAGGCAAGTATGGCCAAGAAGATTGGGTTATTTAATAGAAGATTCTGATAATTTCCACCTATAGTTGGATTTTCTCACTATATTATTAATCGGCTAGTATAATCTGGAATGAGCAAATTATCCAAGAAGCTGGACTCAATGAAGAGAAGTGTGTCATCAAGATTGGAGGGAGACTCATCAATAACCTGTGTTATGCAGATGATACAACCTTGCTTACTGAAAGTGAGAAGGACTTGAAGATTAAGGTATACAGCCTTCAGTACAGATTGCATCTCAATGTCAAGAAAAGAAAGATTCTTATCACTGAACCAATAGAAAGTGTCATGATGGATGGAGAAGAGATTGAAACTGTCAACATCTTCATCTTGCTCAGATCCACAATTAAAACCCTTGGTACCAGCAGTCAGGAAATAAAGAGATGCATTGAATTGGGCAAATCTGCAGATAGGGACTTCTCCAAATTACTGAGGTCAGTTGAGAACTAGGGTGCGTCTAATTCAGGCCATAGTCTTTTAAATTACTTGCTATGCATCTGAAGGCTAGATAATGAATAAGGAAGACAGAAAAAGAATTGATGCCTCTGAACTGTGGTTTTGGAGAAGAACACTGAACATTCCATGGATGAACAAGAGAACAAACAGGTATGTCTTGAAGAGAGTGGAGCCAGAATGCTCTTTGGAGGCAAAAATGATGAGGCTTTACTTCACACACTTAAGGCATGTTGCTAGAAGGAGCTATTCTTTGGAGAGGAACATGATGCTGGAAAGGGTGGAGGGTCGGCGAAGAGGAACACCCTTAACCAGGTGGATTGATATGGTGGCTGCTGCAATGGGCGCTTGTGTGTTAGGTAGTGTGTGGATGGTGCAGAACAGAACAGTTTAGATCTTTTGTTCATAGGATTGCTCTAAGTTATGCTTAACTAGATGGCACCCAACAATAATATGACTTGGTTTTTAAGTTTTCCAAACAGATACAGTCAACAAGATTATTGGGTTAACAAGATTTCTAGTATTCCTACTTTATACTATCAACATCTTAGATTATAAAGTGCAAAAAAAGAATTCAAAGAAATAATGCTTATCTCAAAAGCACACACCTTAGACTGAATGCTAGTAGCTTTGGATAAGTATCTTGAGATGAACGGACTATTCTGAATTATCTGTGTAGGCCCAAGGCAATCACAGGAAGCCTTAAAAAATGTAGGGAGGGTGTCAAAGGAAGAGGACAGGGAGAGAGAACGGTTGATCTGAAGATGCTATGCTGTTGACTTAGAAGATAAAGAAAGTGAATTCAGGTGGTTTCTACAAGTTAGAAAAGACAAGGCAACAGAGTCTCACCAAGGGCCTCCAGAATGAGTTCCAAGGACTTTCAGAATGTAAAATAGGAAACTTATTGCATTTTAAAGCCAGTAACCTTGTGGTAATTTTTACAATACATGTAATATAATGTGGAAGCTATGGAATGATTCCCCCTAAACCAAAGAGGATTAAGATTGAAATACAATTTCTTCATCCCAACATAGACCTACTTGGATGCAAAGGGAGTGTGCATAGGGTCTTTTATCTTACTAGATAAAAAAGAGAAGGAAATTGAGCCAAGGTGATAGAATGCTCAGCACTCACAAGAAACAATTACCAGGACCTTTTTAGACCCAAGCTCCTTCTGAATGAAGCACCTTGATACTAAGACACATGGAGTTCTCCAGGGAATGCCAGGATGCTACACTGTCAAAGGAAACAAGGATTTTAGTTCACCATGGACAGTTAACAGATGCCGCCCTGGACGTGCTCACCAAGTTGTGCCAAGAAATCTGGAGAACAACCACTTGGCCAACTGACATGAAGAGATCTATATTTGTTCCTATCCCAAAGAAAGGTGACCCAACAGAATGTGGAAACTACAGAACAATCTCACTGTTTTCACATGCAAGCAAGATTTTACTGAAGATTATCCAAAAATGACTGGAACAGCACATCAACAGAGAACTACCAGAAGTTCAGGCTGGGTTTAGAAGGGGTCGTGGTACTAGGGATATTGTAGCTGATGTTAGATGGATCTTAGCTGAAAGCAGGGAATACCAGAGGAATGTCTATCTGTGTTTCATTGACTATGCAAAGGCATTTGACTGTGTGGATCATAACAAACTATGGCTGACTCTGAGAAGAATGGGAATCCCAGAACACTTGATCATGCTAATGTGAAACCTATACTTGGACCAGAAGGCAGTCATCAGAACAGAGCAAGGGAACACTGCATGGTTCAAAATTGGGAAGGGCATATGCCAGGGATGCATCCTATCGCCATACCTTTTCAACCTATATGCAGAACAGATTATCCGAGAGGCTGGGCTCTATGAGAAGAAATGTGGGGTCAAGATTGGTGGACGATTTATCAACAATCTGTGTTATGCAGATGACACAACCCTGCTTGCTGAAACTGAAGAGGTCCTGAAGCACCTGTTGCAGAGGGTCAAGGACTGCAGCCTACAATACGGATTGAGGCTCAATGTCAAGAAGACAAAGATTCTCACCACTCGACCAATTGGCAGCATCAGGATGGATGGTGACGAGATTGAGATTGTACACAGCTTTAGTTTCTTGGCTCCACAGTCAACAGTCTTGGCACCAGCAGCCAGGAAATTAAAAGGCGCATTGCCATGGGAAAGTCTGCTGTTAAGGACCTCTCCAAAGTACTGAAGAGCAATGGTGTCTCTCTGGAGACTAAGGTGTGTCTGATACAGGCCATGGTCTTTTCAATCACTTGTTATGCATCAGAGAGTTGGACAATGACCAAGGAGGATAGAAGGAGAATTGATGCCTTTGAGCTGTGGTGCTGGAGAAGAATATTGAAGGTACTATGGACTGCTAGGAAAACAAACAGATTTGTCCTGGAAAGGGTTAAACTGGGTGGCTCTTTGGAGGCAAGGATTCTGAGGCTCCGTCTAACATACTCTGGACATGTTCTGAGGAGAGACCGGTCCTTAGAGAGGGACATCATGCTTGGTAGGGTGGAGGGACAGCGCAAGAGGGGAAGGCCCTCTATGAGGTGGATTGATTCAGTGATTGGGATAATTGGGATGGGAGTGTCAGAGAGAGTGCGATTGGCACAGGACAGAGCAGAGTTTAGGGCTGTTGTACATAGGGTCGCTATGAGTCGCAAGCGACTCGACGGCACAAAACAACAACAACAACAATGGACAGAGAATGAGAGAGAAAACAAGTCTTCCTTTAGAACTGGCATCCTGTTTTTGGATTTCTAACTTCTTAAACTGTAAGAGACTAAATTTCTCTTAGTTAAAGCCACCAACTTTTGTTATTTTTCTTATAGCAGTATTAGATAACTATTGTAGTTTTAATGTACTGTCAAGTTATAACCAATTCATAGCTGACTCACCAGTGGGTTTTTAGAGACTGTAATTCATAAGAGGGGAGAATGCCTATCTTTCTCCCAGGAAGCAGCTGGTAGATTTGAACCACATGCATTTGAGTAATCAGGGCAACTCTTTACCACTAAGCCATCAGAGTTTCCTTATTAGATAGCTAAGACAACAGCAATAGGAAACCAGTGTAGAAGTTTATAATCTTTTGAGAGAGATAAGGTAAGAACTAATTTTGATACCATTTAGAAAGTGACAGATATGAAACTGGAGTTTAACGAAGTAATACATAATATTACAAAGTAATTTCTAGATAATGTGAGTTCTTCTGGCTGGAGAGATTGGAGAAAGTTTCTGGGTAATGCAATAGTTCAATGGAACCCTGAAGACAAAGTAAGATTGCTGAAGGGCAACTCTCTTTTAGAATCAGCAGAGTGAAGACTTCAAGCTGGAAAGTATGGAAACAGACAAAAAATGAACCCACGTCCTAGTGTCACTGATTTCAGGGCAAGACATTTACTCAGTTTTTAAAACATCATACATTCATAATATAATAGCTCCACTAAGTTTGTAAAAATTATAATAATAGTTGATGGTTATATTGTATATAATAAACTGTCCTGAGAGTTTAAATATAAAAATACAGATCTTGGACAAGAATAACTTCTCTAAACAGAACATACAGTAGCCAAGGGTGAGGCTGACTATGGCATACATATTTATAAATATACATAATATCAGTCAAAATAGGCAACGTGGTAATTCTTTTTAAACATCTAATAATATTTACAAGTTAGTTATTCGTTACAATGATGAAAAGCAAGCAGCACCAACCACTGAAACCCAACAGAATGTTATTAGAAAAATAGACTCACATTTATGATGGGCTGGAAGAAAACATTAAAATTCTGTCTCATTTGGCAGGGTTTAAGTGTTTTCTGTGACTGAAACCAGTACCCACAATCTCAAGTGATTTTTTATTGGTTCTACTTGTCTTTTGCATAATTTCATTTGAGTTAGATCATAAGACAATTGCCCAATCAAATTATTTTTTAACTGTTCTAATTTTGAGGGTGGAAAGGATGGAATTGTCTAGATTGCTTATCTGCATCACCCAAAGGCACCATCAAATCAACCTCTTGGCATTACCTGTAGGGCAATGTCTGACCAAAACGATAGCCTGTAGATAGCTGACTCAGCATTACATGGTTATTTCTTTATATTTTGGTGAAATCAATACCTTCGTTTACTTTTCACATTCATTCCAAGAAAATTCAGAGCAACAGCTTGTCTCTGTTAGCCTACTCCCATCAGCCGTTGCCTCTGCAGGCGGATCCATAGCCACGTCACAGCGCCTTAAGTCCTGAGGTGGAGCTTCATGCCTTGGAAGCCAGCTTTCTTCACAGGAGGAACTGGGTATGCAGCAAGCATCCTCATTTCTCTTACTCTCTGCCTTTTGGTCAAAACTGAGAAATGTAACCTCTGACTGACTGCATTCAAAAGGCGTTTTCCGAATCACTCTATCTTTCCTCCAGTCTTCAACAGGAGGCAGTGAGCGAATATTCTGATCTGAATGGATGGTCTGGTTTTCATCATCTTCCACTGGAATACTTGGTACGTTATCCAAGAAAAGGGGAGAGGGACACCGGAAGGACTTCAGGGATGTGGGAGGGTCCTCCAAAAAATATAAACTGGCTTGAGTACTTTCAAGAATATTTAAGACCTAGTTAATAAAGAAACAAGCTTTAGTTAAAGTTGAATAAATAACCTTCCTGCTGCACTGCCAACCCCAAAGCACATGATTCAAATCCACCAGATGCTCTGCAGGGGAAAGATGGGCAATCAACTCCTGTGTGATTTACTGCCTCTGGAAATCTGCTGGAGCTGTGTCAAATCCAACTCAACAGCAGCAACAACAACACTGAAAAATTGTGTCAATCCATTTCATGAGGGTCTTCCCTGGAGATCCAAGTATATCAGAGAAGATAAGGATGACATACATGGTTTCGGTCTCTTGTTCATAGGGTTGCTATGAATCATACTCAGCTCCGTAGCTTCTAACAACAGCAATGAAAAATGGAGGAACTTGCTTGGTGCAGTTGTAGGGAGTTGCACCGCTAACTCAGAGGGTTTGGATCCATTGGTGGCTCCTTAGGATAAAGATGGACAATCTCCTCCAATTTGATTTACAATCTTGAAAACTCACTGGCGAAACCAGCTCTGATTCTACAGTAATGAGTTGAAAAAAGAAAAAACAAACAAACAAAAAAAAAACTCCCACAACAACACAACAAACAAAAAACCAAAAACAACAACAAAAAACCAACCCCCAAAACCTCACATTTAAAAAATAAGTTTAACTATAGAAATTTGAGCTTAAAAGGAGTCTAAAGCTGATGTTGATTTTGGTTGCTATCAAGTTGGTTCCCATCATGGAGACTGGATGCATAACGCTAGCTGGTTCTGTGAAGTCCTCATGATTGGTTGTGGACTGTACCCTGTGATCAGAGGGCTTTACTGGCTTATTTTCAGAAGTAGATTATCTGATCTTTCTTCCTAATCTGTCTTCGTCTAGAGGCTCCATTAAAATGTGTTCAATATCATAGCATCCCACAAGCCTCCATTCATAGACGAGGAGTGGCTGCAGTTAAATTCATGACCAAGAATGGAAACAGGGTCTCCCGTATGTAAGATGAGAATCCTGTCACTAAACTAATGCCCCCAAAGATTAACTAAGCCGAAACTTTTAACAATAAGTAAATTAATGAAGCAAAGTCTAAAGGAAACTGCACGAAATAAAATTTTAAGAGTCTTGAATGTTACTTTTAGATGTATTACAACTAGCTTATGTCTTTGGGAAGATTCTGCATTCCTTTTTTTCTTTAACAGTAATAAAGGGTTATGCTGAGAAGAGGAGAAGATCAGACCTCATCAATAGTCATCAAATATCAATTTGAAATTATTGTATCAGAAATACCTCAGGGACTTACTTATGAAACAAATCTTTTGAGCCTGTACTAGGGATGATCATTCTATAAAATCTGTAGATGGAGCTCCAAAGATTTATACTTTAAAAACTCTGGGAATGCATGTCAATTTGAGGTCCCAGATTTAGGATAATATAGCATACTTTCATACACACAATTCATAAAAGTACATTTAGAGAACTTTAGTGTTCACAATGACATTATTTTTTCATCTTAGTAGACCTAAGGTTCACTAAAAGGGAATCAACATCACAAGCCAATAAGGCACAGATTTGTTGCTGGATCCCAGATCTCGTTTCCAATCCCATGTTCCTTCCACTAAGCCTTTCACTGGTCCTTTCTGGCACCAAGAATGTAGACCACAGAGCTCTTATTTATGGTGTCAGTCCTGGAATACAGCTCTCCTGACCCCCAAGCCAGGGGTTTCTCCAGTCTGATGCCTGCTCCTTGATTTAAGCTTCTTGTGGCTCTATGACAGAGTCGGGATAAAATCCTAACTTCTGTGATAGAATTGACGCCCCAATATCACTCAGAACCTTCTATCACTTTAACTGCTATAGCCTTTCCTCATTCTAACCCTAATTTCATGATGCTGACCTACTTGCATTCTCATCTGCAAATATCAAATTGATTTTAACTTAGTGGCCTACCGTTGAATTTCCATGGCTAGAAGTCTTTCTGGCAAGAAACTCTTTATCTTTCTCTTTGTGGAGTTTGCTAGTGGATTTGAAATGCCAACTCTTCCGTAAACAGTCCAACGTGTTATGTTGGACTTACCTGAGCTCCTTACTTACAGTCTTAATACCATGAAACATTCTTATTCCTCCTTAAATATAATCTGCTCTTTGGGTTGTAATTAAGCTGTTACCCCCCCCCCCACTACCCAAGGAAGTATCTTTAACTTTCATAGGCTTATATGCATTCTAACTATATGATCCTAGACGTCTTATAAGTCTGAATTTTCATCTCTTGCTGTACTGATGTAACCTGCAGTTTCTATGATGCTGAACCTTGTGCCATCGGGGTGTCAAATGCCATAACAGTTCCCATGGTGGGCAGTGTTTGGTAGAGCTCCCAGTTTAGGACAGGTTTGGAAGCAGGAGTGGCATCCACTTACTAAAAAAACATGCCTTTGGAAACTCTATAAACTTTGATTAAAGTCTATAGTTATAGAGGGGCTTCAGGCCTTTTGTTCATAGGGTCACTATGAGTCGTGCTCGACTTGACAGCAATCAACAACAAACAATAACATAATCACACATACTGAAATTCCATGTTTATTGTTCTAACAGCGCCTATGGACTGTGAAAGCAAAAACTGTCTTGATCATTGAGGTATTCCAAGTACAGAGTATGGAAAACAAAAATGAAGAACATCATAAATATTTATTGGGTAAATAAATGAATGGATGATAATATTGATGGAAATGTGAATAAAGATGTTGTTGTTGTGTACTGTCGAGTCAGAACCTCAACAGTAGCTGACCCTCCAGAGTGTTCAGAGGCAGTTTAATCACACAGAAGGAGAATGTTCATCTTTCCCCTATAAAGCAGCTAGTGGATTTGTGTGCCTTTGGAATAGCAGCATAACTCCTTACCACCAGGCCACCAAAGCTCCCTGAATAAAGGAGCATAAGTGCAATGTATGCTGCATTTTTAATGGACTGGATCTCTTAATGAAGGTTGAACAAACTATCTTCTTCAAACTATTCACCTGCTAGTGTCTATTCACAATACCTTTCAGTGTCCTGGTTCCACTCAGTAAGTGACCTCTACCAAGGTACCATAACACCCTGGTGGCACAAGGTTAAGTGTTTGGCTGTTAACCCAAACGTGACTACTCTAATCCATCAGCCTGTTTCATAGGAAAAAAAATATGTGGCAGTTGGCTTCAATAATGATTACAGCCTTGAGAACCCTACGGACAAATTCTCTTCTGTCCTACAAGGTCACTATGAGTTAGAATAAACTCAGTGTCAATGGATTTGGTCTTAGGAGGGTATCAAATGATGAACGTTTTAATCTGGAAAAAACTACCTATTAAGTTGGAATTCTCTGTTGGGAGTTGGGTTTGTGTCATCAATTAAAAATTCATTTATATATACAATTTATCCTACCTAAATTTGACACAATTTTGCAAGACTCAGTTTTGGAGAAAACCATGTATATACGTACTTCATCCATCAGTGGCCTTAACTTGGCCCGAGATGCAACACACTGGCCTGCCAGAGAGAAGAGCTTGGTGGAAAAGTTGCGAGGACAGGGATTTACTTTCTTATCTAAGAATGAAAGACATGAATCGAGGCCTCTCTTCTCCATAAGTTCCACAAGGAGGTCTCTCTAGGAAGAGAAAGAGACAACCTTATCATGTAGAACTCTCCTCAAAATGAACAAGAGACATCTGCAAAAATGAAGACATTCTCACCAGCTGTATATGTTTGGGATCATCTAACACCACTTTACAACCTGTCAGAACTTCCATTATTACCTTAAAAGAATAGAGAGAAAGTTAGGGCGTATCTTAATCTATCACAAATAGTAGTTGAAAATATCAATCATAACAACAAACAGTTCATTTTATTTACTAATTTATGTTTATTACTTGACATGTTGTACTAATTCTACACTATTAGAATTAATATGAGATAATGAGTAAGAAGAAATCAGTCAGTTTACAAGTTACAACACTTTAAAACACATTTCTTAGAATTTGGAATATTCTTAATGATAAATGCTCCCTCTTTGTTAACTAGTAGTTAGCACTTACGATTCCGAAGCTGTAGACATCTGTTTTAATGGAAAGTTTGCCCTGTCTGATGTACTCTTCTGGCATGTACCACAGATGTTTACTGTTGCTGCTGGTCGTGTTTATGGTAGAACTCTGATGTTCCAGGTGGGGTCGGAAGTGTGCCATGGCAAAATCAGTTAGTTTGGGCTGAAACTGATCATCCAAAAGTATGTTTGCACTAAAATTGTGATCAAGCACAAATAAGGCAAGAGATTATTAAGGCATTTCAACGTAAAGCAAATGACAAGCTCACCTTCATAGGTGACCAGTTCCAAACACTGGTAGAGTAAAACATCATTTTTCATTGACTCGATGGCCTTTACTCATTTTTCTTAAAAACAATAACAACAAACCCAAAGAAAATCCAAATGTAAAAAAATCTAAAGTACAAAACTTGGCCTACAAAAAAATGGTCGTTTAAAACCTACAGACGAAGCTCTGGTGGTGCAGCGGTTAAATGCTAGGTTGTTAACCAAAAGGTCAATGATTTAAACTTATCAGCTATTTCATGGGACATTGATGCAGCAGTCCTCTTCCATAAAAGGCACTGCCTAGAAAATCCTATGAGACATGTCTTCTCGGCCCTGTAGGGTTGCTATGAGTCTGCTTCACCTTGATGACAATGACTTTGGATGCTGTATTTACAAGTAATTAAAACACTAACTCATTTTTATTCAGTTAATGAATTAACTGACTTGACAACAGTTTCTTTCTTCTTGGATCAACAATTAATGCCTCTGGAAGCAGAAGACAAAAAAATTGAACAACCTCTTGAAAACATTGGAAAACAAAGATGTCACTTTGATGACTAACTAAGGGGCATCTGACTTAAGCTATGCTGTTTTTAAACCACTCCACATGCAAACAAAAGCTGAAAAAGGAAAGCTGACAAAGTCTATGTTCAAATTGTGTATTCCCAAAAGAACACTGAATATACCATTTACTGCCAGACGATTAAACAGATTGATCTTTAAGGAGGTACAGCTAGAGTGCTCATTACAAGAAAGGATGTGAGCCTTCATCTTACTTTGGATGGGTTATAAAGACAGCAATTAATAGAGAAAGACATCATGCTTGGGAAAGGGTAAGCAAAAAAGAGGAAGCCCTTCAATGAAATGGACTGGAATGGTGGCTGCAACAACGGGCATAAGCAGAGATTGTGAAGATGGCACATGACTAGGCGGTATTTCTTCCTGTTAAACTTATGAATTGAGCCTACTTGAGGTCCTCTAACAGCAATGATAATGAACATATATGGCATAGTAGGCTTATCAGCAGAGAACTACTAACCTGAATTATTTCTAGCACTTGTGGTAGGTCCTGCTTTAATGATAACCTTGACCCACTTGTCCCATCATTGTGGCTTTTCTGTGAGTTATTTAAAACACACATATTTTCCAAAACAAAAAAGAGTGCCTAGAGTCAGTTTAAACTGTTGTCACCTAAAAACCTTGACAATCACTTAGCATCTTGGCTGAGAGTAAGCATGAGGCTACTATGACCTCAGTAAGTAAGAGTATCTTAGCAGGAAAAGGAAAGGAATAACTAAGAGGGAGACACATTCAATCTGTCCATGTCCCAGCTCTATCCTTTCCTCACTGTGTAAGTGCTAGGGGGTTACTTCACTCGAGAAGCCACAATTTGCTTTTTCTTAACATGTTTAAATTGAAGAAAATAAAACCTATAGGGACTGATAGAGACAATATAAAGTGTACAGCCTCATGCCTAATGCTTAGTTAAAGGTAGCTAAACACTGACACCCTTGGTAACAGCAGTGAAGAATCAAAAGATGAGTTACATTGGGAAAATCTGCTGTCAAGGAGCTCATCAAAGTGCCAAAGAGCAAGGATGCAAAGTGAAAGACTTAAGATCCAAGTCATGGTCTTTTCAATTACTTCCAATAGATCTTAAAGTTTGACAACACATAAGAATGACAGGAGACAGAAGAATAATCAGTGCTCTTTAATTGTGGTGCTTGAGAAGAATATAGAATATCCCATGGGCTGCCCAAAGAACCAATATGTCTGCCTTCAAGTAAATGCACCAGAGTGCTCCTTTGAAACTCAAAAACTTGGTCTCAAATACTTTGGCCATGATGTCAGGAGTGACCAATCCCTGGAAAAATGATGGGTAAGGTGGAGGGTCAGAGAAAGAGAAAGTTCCTTAGTGACATGGATTGATTCAGTGTCTTTAACAATGGGCTTGCCATTTTAAGACTGGATTTTCAACAGGGGAAAGAAAATTATTCCCAAGAGCCATTTAAGGATAAAGGATAACACAATCTAACCTTTGTTTTACTCCTATCTTCTCTAAGGATGGCAAGAGAATTGTGATCCAAAAATTCTCAGCTTACCAAAGCCTTAAATCCCTTTACCTACGCAATGACCATTGAGTCAAAGATACCCCAACATTTATCACTGAGCACACTTCTCATTCTTCTTGCCTTATCATTTCTCTCCAATCAGTGCAACTCTGTCAACTGCTAAGGCTAGCCTGGGTTTTGGCCAGGCCCATCTGTGTTACTTCTCACCATCCACTACTTTGAAAAGTGCCAGGTATTCTCATTTCCCTCTTAAGATGAGGACAAATTGAAGTCACACCTGACCATCTTATGAGTGTTAGGTAAGGATTGATATTTAATTCATAGTTACTTCTTTCCAAGGAAGGGGATGCACTTATTAGATAAAATGTGGAGCTACGAAGGATGACCCTAATCTTGAGAAAGATGGAGGATATTTTCATGCAAGCATTTACCAAGTTTGCCGTGATGATTGCTCACTTCTGTGGCCAGGACCCAAATCCTGGTTCTCTTCCACACATTCCTACTCTGTTTCAGGATAAACAAGCTCTGAGGGCCAGATTTCTAATACTGAGCATCAGCCCTTGTTTTCGTCCACTCAAGTTCAAAAGGGGAAAGGTACAGAATTATACCTTAAAATGCCAGAAGAGTCATGAGAATGAAAAAGGATGACTCTGTTAAATACTTAGGATCCCTGAAGATTTTTTAAAGTACCCAAAACATTTTTTAAATACAGAAAAACAACAAGCCCATAATCTGTTCTATTTAGTTGGTCCTCCCCAAACTGATGGGCTGCTTTTAGCAATTGGTGATTCATGCTTCTGTCAGAGTTAGGCAGAGGTGAGCTTGGTAACCACAGACAATATGTTATATGATAAAACCCACAGAGGACTTGGGGTCAGTGAAAGGCCATCAATAAGAAACCAAAACTGTTCCAGGGCACTGAATTTACACTTTGAATAATGCTAGGTAGTGAAAAGACAAGTTGTTTACTAGCTGACTTCAGTGCATAACATAAATTTTGAGTCCTGTGATTTACACTGTTCTAAATTAAGCTTAATGGTAGCTGAGGAAGAAAGATGTTGGAGAAAAGTGAGAATTGCAAAAGGCCTTTCAACAATCAATTCTACCCCAATTCTTTCTCCTGCTTCAACCTTAAATAGAGTGTTCAAACATAAAGTGCCTTTAGCTACCAAACAGGTCAACTAACTACATTTACCCTGTGGGAATAAAACAGACAACCAATGTAAAGACAAAATAAAGTAACTAAAATCCCAAGGATATAACACAAAAGGAAAGTTTGCAGCAATTGTAACCACTAGATACAGAAAAACAAAAACCAAAAAGCCCCTAAGTTTTCCACACCTTTAATTTTATATTTTTATGGTCTATTTCTTCTCCTTTTTCTTCACAGGCTATTTGCTGTAACACAAAGTCCATCACCTGTTTAGATAATTCTTCAGCAGAAATAACATGGTTTGTCCACTGAAAAGGTGGAGAAAGCCTATACAAACAGGTAATTTTGGATCCTGACTAGAAATGGTGCTTAATTTCTCTATTGGTAGAGACCTCTGGAATAATTAATTTTGGAGTTATTATCCCAGAACATTGGATTGTGCTTATATGAAACCTATAATTTGGCTAGGAGGTAGTCATCAGAATAGAGAAAGGAGGCACTGCATGGTTCAGAATCTGGAGGAGTATGCACAAGGGATGTATTTTGTCTCCATACCTTTTCAATCTGTATGCAGAACAGATCATCTGGGAGGTTGGACTGTATGAGGAGGAATGTGACATCAAGAGTGGAGGAAAACTCATGAACATCCTGCGTTATGCAAATGACACAACCCTGCTTGCTGAAACTGAGGAGGACCTGAAGCGCTTGCTATAGAAGGTAAAGGACTGCAGCCTTCAATATGGATTGAAACTCAACATCAAGAAAACAAAGATTCTCACCATTGGGCCAATTGGTAGGATTATGATAGATGGTGAAGAGACTGAGATTGTTAACAGCTTTAGTTTACTTGGTTTCACAATCAACACTCTTGGTACCAGCAGCCAGGAAATCAAAGATGAATTGCATTGGGAAAGTCGGCTGTCGGGGACCTCTCAAGAGTACTGAAGAGTAGTGATGTCAGTCTGGAGACTAAGATGCACCTGGTCTTGACCATAGTCTTCGCAATTGCTTGCTATATATCAGAGAACTGGACAATAACTAGGGATGATAGAAAGAGAATTGATGTCTTTGAGTTTTGGTGCTGGAGAAGAGTATTGAATATACCATGGACTGCCAAAAGAACAGTTTCATTCTAGAGAGGGTGAAACCAGTCTGCTCCTTGGAGGCAAGGATTCTGAGGCTTCCTCTGACTTTGGGCATGTTGCAAGAAGGGACCAGTCCTTGGAGAGGGACATCATACTTGGAAAGGTGGTGGGACAGAGAAAGAGAGGAAGACCCTCAATGAGATGTATCAATTCAGTGACTAGGGTAATGAGGGTAGGTGTATCAGAGACAATAAAATTAGCACAGGATAGAGTAAGTTTCAGGGCTATTGTACATAGGGTCACTATGAATTGCAAATGACTAAGGGCACATAACAACAACTCAATTACTACCTACTGTACTTTGGAAGAAGTACAGCCAGAATGGTCCATGAGAATTACTTTATGGCAAGTCCTTTGAACATATTGTCAGAAGAGACTAGTCCCTGAAGAAGGATATCATCCTTGGTAAAGGGTCAACCAAAAAAGAGGACAATTGTCAATGAGACTGGCATAGTGGCTGCACCATGGCCTCAAGCATGGCAATTATTGGATGCATCTTCCCTGCAGGACAGGGTGGTGGTCCATTTTGTTGAACACAGGGCTGCTATGAGTTAGAA